TCTACCACAATGGAGCTAATTCCCTGTTTTTTTCAACTCCAAATTTCTTTATCCTTTGCCGGATACTAATGAGCGTCTTACGGAAGCGACCATTTTTAAATCGCCATCTACAGAAGTCATTTCGAAATACACATTTATGAAAGGCAGCGTAAAGTTGTGAACACTAAAATACAATATTTACATGCGTGTTCAAGGGGTTGGGAGCAGAGGCCCTAAACCTCTGGCACAGTTGACACCACTGGCACCACCGCAACCCCCCACCCCCCCATAACCATCCCTCCACCTGGTGGAGGGTGGAGGCACAGGAAGGACTTCGTGTATGCATTCCACCTCACTCCACACACACACACACACACACACACACACACACACACACACACACACACACACACACACACACACACACACACACACACACATACACACATACACACATACACGTGTGAGGGGTGAGGTCTCAGATTGGCGAGACGTTACGAGTGGAGTCCCGCAGGGGTGTCCTTGGACCTATACTGTTTCTGATATATGTAAATGATCTTCCAGAGGGTATAGAATCGTTTCTCTCAATGTTTGCCGATGATGCAAAAATTATGAGGAGGATTGAAACTGAGGACGATAGTAGGAGGCTACAAGATGACCTAGACAGACTGAGTGAATGGTCCAACAAATGGCTGTTGAAGTTCAACCCGAGTAAATGCAAAGTAATGAAACTAGGTGGTGGAAATAGGAGGCCAAACACAGGATACAGAATAGGAGATGAAGTACCTAAGGAAACGAACAGAGAGAAAGATCTAGGAGTTGATATCACACCAAACCTGTCTCCTGAAGCCCACATAAAAAGAATAACGTCTGCGGCATATGCGAGGCTGGCTAACATCAGAACAGCGTTCAGGAACCTGTGTAAGGAATCATTCAGAATCTTGTACACCACATATGTAAGACCAATCCTGGAGTATGCGGCCCCAGCATGGAGCCCGTACCTTGTCAAGCACAAGACGAAGCTGGAAAAAGTCCAAAGGTATGCCACTAGACTAGTCCCAGAACTAAGAGGCATGAGTTACGAGGAAAGGCTGCGGGAAATGCACCTTACGACACTGGAAGACAGAAGAGTAAGGGGAGACATGATCATAACCTACAAAATCCTCAGAGGAATCGACCGGGTAAACAAGGATAAACTATTCAACACTGGTGGGACGCGAACAAGGGGACACAGGTGGAAACTGAGTACCCACATGAGCCACAGAGACGTTAGAAGGAACTTTTTCAGTGTCAGAGTAGTTAACAGGTGGAATGCATTAGGCAGTGATGTGGTGGAGGCTGACTCCATACACAGTTTTAAATGTAGATATGATAGAGCCCAGTAGGCTCAGGAATCTGTACACCAGTTGATTGACAGTTGAGAGGCGGGACCAAAGAGCCAAAGCTCAACCCCCGCAAGCACAAATAGGTGAGTACAAATAGGTGAGTACACACACACAATCCCTGGAATCTGTGCACCTGTTGATTGATTGACAGTTGAGAGGCGGGACCAAAGAGCCAGAGCTCAACCCCCGCAAGCACAACTAGACACATACACACCGGGGAACTAAACACAATATAGACTCCACACACACACAATGGCGTCTTAACCTATCTACGCAGGACAAAGGGATATAGAGAACAAAATGAATTTTCGAAAGCATTGTCAACGGGTATTGTCTCGTCTGTGTCATCACAGACACAGACAGGAGACACAGTCCCAAAGACAGACAGACACGGGACACAGACACAGACCACATCCTTCACATGCTTATATTTAACATATAAGCATATAAGTCTTCCCAGACTTATTCTTCCCAGACTTCCCAGACCCACATATAAGTCTTCCCAGTCGTTCAGGTTCAGAATTTCCTTACATTTCATCGTCTTATTTGTCGTCTCCAGTTCCCATCTGTGTCCTCTTCTCCTACGTTTTCCCTCAATTACAGAAGTCTATCGTCGCCCGCCTCGTCTGTTCCACTGTCTGTGGTATCTATCTGTGTGTCTATCTGCTTTCTATGTCTGTCTATCCACCATGACCTCCAGTTATATTTAAATTAATCTGGCGGGTAAAATAACCAAATTTAAACTAAAATAAAAATATAAAACTCGCCGCAAAAGTCAAGTCTATCATTGAATTTTTATCTGGAAAGGTCACGGGAGCCGCTGGGACACTGGCGGGCGCTGGGACACGGGGGGCGCTGGGACACGGGTGCTGCTGGGACACTGGTGCTGCTGGGCGCTGGAACACTGGGGGTGCTGGGCGCTGGGACACTGGGGGTGCTGGGCGCTGGGACACGGGAGCCGCTGGGACACTGGCGGGCGCTGGGACACGGGGGGCGCTGGGACACGGGTGCTGCTGGGACACTGGTGCTGCTGGGCGCTGGAACACTGGGGGTCCTGGGCGCTGGGACACTGGGGGTGCTGGGCGCTGGGACACGGGAGCCGCTGGGACACTGGGGGTGCCGGGCGCTGGGACACGGGGGGCAGCTGGGACACTGGGGGCGCTGGGACACGGGTGCTGCTGGGACACGGGTGCTGCTGGGCGCTGAGACACGGGAGCCGCTGGGACACGGGTGCTGCTGGGCGCTGGGACACGGGGGCTGCTGGGACATGGGGGGCGCTGGGACACGGGGGGCAGCTGGGCGCTGGGACATGGGGGGCGCTGGGACACACAGCCTGATAATTGAGTTTCTTGCTGACTTTGACAAGGTGTGTTTTAACCTGGCTTAGCCCGATGTTGCTTAGTCTACCCTGACCTAGCCTGACCTAGCCTTACCTAGCCTTACCTAGCCTGACCTAGCCTGGCCTAGCCTTACCTACCCTGGTCTACCCTGGCCTAGCCTTACCTAGCCTTATCTAGCCTGGCTTAGCCTGGCCTAGCCTTATCTAGCCTGGCTTAGCCTGGCCTAGCCTTACCTAGCCTGGCCTAGCCTAAAGTAGTGGCAACACAGTCTCCCCTGACTTGCCGACTTGTGATAATTACTGACAAACTTAACTTACCCTAGCCTAACCTATCCTAACCTAACCTAACCTAACCTATCCTATCCTAACCTAACCTAACCTAACCTAACCTAACCTATCCTAACCTAACCTAACCTAACCTATCCTAACCTAACCTAACCTAACCTATCCTAACCTAACCTAACCTAATTTAATCTAGTTAATAATACAGCCAACAGTCTTAAACACCTCACTTCAGATCCTATATATATATATATATATATATATATATATATATATATATATATATATATATATATATATATATATATATATATATATATATATAATTCCATATGGGTACAGACCGGTTATCTGATAGGCGAGAAGTGTTTGTAACCAGATAGCACAGTACGGCTTAGTGATTACATCATGTGTTGACAGCTGGGAGGAACGGGGGGGGGCAGGGTGGAGGCACTAAGCTATTAAGATGCGTAGAAGACTCTGATTTCCTTAATTATCGAACAGCTTGTTTGGGTCAGGTAGTCAGAGTCACGTTTGAGGGGTAGTTGAACGGTATCAAACTATCCGAAGCATTTTTGTTCGAAATGTGTCCATTTCGAACTACGTACTAACCAGTCATGTTCATTACAGTTCAGATGCCTACGGCTAGCCTCATTAAACTTTGCAACATTAAAGTTGATTTTATCGGGAGTGCAACAGTGATTTTATCGGGAGTGCAACAGTGATTTTATCGGGAGTGCAACAGTGATTTTATCGGGAGTGCAACAGTGATTTTATCGGGAGTGCAACAGTGATTTTATCTGGAGTGCAACAGGGGTGAGTCGGGGTGGCCCCAGTGCCACCCTGATGGGGGAACACGGCCCCAAAGCCCTTCTTTTAGTACGAAGTCTATGGGTGTGAAATGTCCATAGAGTTTAGAATTTGTTTAAAAAATGACAGTATTACGTTCTATGGTCACCTTTTGGCTTGTGTACCACTGTCTTGCTCATTGCCTAAACTTTTAGGATAACAACCGCCTCCCCTGGAAGATAACCAATCAGCAAGCCTCGGTGGTGTTGATCTACACCATGCATCATGGATAGCATTGCATCTTGAGGTTATCTTGAGATGATTTCGGGGCTTTTTAGTGTCCCCGCGGCCCGGTCCTCGACCAGGCCTCCACCCCCAGGAAGCAGCCCGTGACAGCTGACTAACACCCAGGTACCTATTTTACTGCTAGGTAACAGGGGCATAGAGTGAAAGAAACTCTGCCCATTGTTTCTCGCCGGCGCCTGGGATTGAACCCAGGACCACAGGATCACAAGTCCAGCGTGCTGTCCGCTCGGCCGACCGGCTCCCATGAGTACTGCATGAGTACTCATATTCCCGCGTCATGCTGCTGGTGCAAGTGTTGATTTATCCCACCAGAGCACTGTGGAGAGTTCGTTGGGATGCGTGATCCCAAGTTGACAATATCCCAACCAATGGGATATTGTAATGCTTTGCACCTCCTCATTGGGGAGGCGTCAGACGGTCGGCCGAGCGGACAGCACGCTGGACATGTGATCCTGTGGTCCCGGGTTCGATCCCAGGCGCTGGCGAGAAACAATGGGCAGAGTTTCTTTCACTCTATGCCCCTGTTACCTAGCAGTAAATAGGTACCTGGGAGTTAGTCAGCTGTCACGGGCTGCTTCCTGGGGGTGGAGGCCTGGTCGAGGACCGGGCTGCGGGGTGACTAAAAAGCCCCGAAATCAACTCAAGATAACCTCAAGATAACCTCTATAACATCCCCAAGCCTTGCAGACAGATCCACTGGGATAACCCCGTAATGGAGAATATTGCAATTGTTGAATTTGAACAACAAAATATAGCGCAATGGTCTACATGTGACCATCATCATAGCGACAATATTCCTTTCAGAAAACATATTCATTGTGTGTTTATACCATCATATATAAATACTGAATATGTATTAGCTTAAGACAATTACCGGTGGGATTTGGTAAATGATGACGTACGATATGATCAACGACAGCCACGGCAGCGGACTCACCAACCAGACGTACGATACCAACAAAGACAGCCTAGGCAGCGGACTCAGTAACCAGACGTACGATACCAACAAAGACAGCCTAGGCAGCGGACTCAGTAACCAGACGTACGATACCAACAAAGACAGCCACGGCAGCGGACTCACCAACCAGACGTACGATACCAACAAAGACAGCCACGGCAGCGGACTCAGTAACCAGACGTACGATACCAACAACGACAGCCACGGCAGCGGACTCAGTAACCAAACGTACGATACCAACAACGACAGCCACGGCAGCGGACTCAGTAACCAGACGTACGATACCAACAACGACAGCCACGGCAGCGGACTCACCAACCAGACGTACGATACCAACAACGACAGCCTCGGCAGCGGACTCACGAACCAGACGTACGACTCCTCGCTTGTCAACAATAACAAAAATGGCGACGCTCATCAATGTTGTTATCAGTTCCTCGCTGGCATTTCACACAGTTTAAAGGTCAGGCAAGTTTGAATGGCTATAAAGGAGATAGAACGTGAACCACTAACACATTTGTGTTGGTGGTTCACGATCTGAACTGGTGGTTCACCCAGAGGAGCCGGTCGGCCGAGCGGACAGCACCCTGGACTTGTGATCTGTGATCCTGGGTTCGATTCCAGGCGCCGGCGAGAAACAATGGGCAGAGTTTCTTTCACCCTATGCCCCTGTTACCTAGCAGTAAAATAGGTACCTGGGTATTAGTAAGATGAGTAGAAGACTCTGATTGTCACGGGCTGCTTCCTGGGGGTGGAGGCTTGGTCGAGGACCGGGCCGCGGGGACACTAAAGCCCCGAAATCATCTCAAGATAACCTGGTTCACTGATAATAAGTACACTGGCGGGACCCTTCTCCTTAATCTTGGGTCTTACAGACCACAGTAATTTAGTGCGCCTTAGTCCAACATCGAAGTTAGGCAGTCTCCGTGGTGTAGTGGTAAGACACTCGCCTGGCGTTCCGCGAGCGCTATGTCATGGGTTCGTATCCTGGCCGGGGAGGATTTACTGGGCGCAATTCCTTAACTGTAGCCTCTGTTTAACGCAACAGTAAAATGTGTACTTGGATGAAAAAACGATTCTTCGCGGCGGGGATCGTATTCCAGGGACCATAGGATTAAGGACTTGCCCGAAACTCTACGCGTACTAGTGGCTGTACAAGAATGTAACAACTCTTGTATATATCTCAAAAAAAAAAAAAAAAAAAAAAAAAAGTTAGCGTTAACAATCGTTGCTAATGGTGATTGATTATTGAATAACATCCATACACCCATCTACAGCCCCGCCCCCCCCCCCCACCCCCCTGCCTCTAAATATGTTTGTAAATATTGTATTTTAGTGTTTACAACTTTACGTTGTCTTTCATAAATGTGTATTTCGAAATGACTTCTGTAGATGGCGATTTAAAAATGGTCGCTTCCGTAAGACGCTCATTAGTATCCGGCAAAGGATAAAGAAATTTGGAGTTGAAAAAACAGTGAATTAGCTCCATTGTGGTAGTTAGTCTTGAAAGACAGTTATTAGAGTTGAATGGCTCGTTGATACGACTTATCGTAAATCTCTCTCTCTCTCTCTCTCTCTCTCTCTCTCTCTCTCTCTCTCTCTCTCTCTCTCTCTCTCTCTCTCTCTCTCTCTCTCTCTCTCTCTCTCTCTCTCTCTCTCTCTCTCTCTCTCTCCCTCCCTCACTCTCTCATTCATAAACACACACACACACACACACACACACACACACACACACACACACACACACACACACACACACACACACACACACACACACACACACACTCAGCCGCGGGGCCTCGCGGCTGAGTGGACAGTGCTCGGTGGTCGTAGTCCCAAGGGCCTGGGTTCGAATCTCGGCCGAGGCAAGCACAAATAGGAATCGTTTCTTTGTTTTTCTTTTATGTGTGTGTGCATTAGAGATAAATATTTAGTAGACATCCTAGAGGAAAAAGAGATTGGCTATTAAGGCGGGGTCCAAGAGCTAATAACTTGATTCTGTGAGCACAAATAGTAAATACACTCATACATGCACACACACAATACACACACACACAATACACACACACACAATACACTAGGCAAGTGACGTGGTGGAGGCTGACTCCATACATCCTTTAAATGTAGTTTTAAACTGGAAGGTTCAAATGTAGACATGATAGAGCCCAGTAGGCTCAGGAATCTGTACACTAATAGACTGACGGTTGAGAGGCGGGACCTAAGAGCTGAAGCTCAACCCCTGCAAGCACAATTAGGTAAGTACAAATCGGTGAATACACCACACACGAACGAATTTCATATTAATGAAAATAGGGTTGAGTTCTCCGTAGAGTTTTGCGATAAATATAAAGATTCCTTCAGCACACACTGGTGACGAGAAAGTGTAATTCTAACAATTTATAACAAAAATGTTATTTCAAACTATACAGAATGACATGATACAGTGGTTAATTAGTTGTTACATATTATATGTAACTAGTTGTTACATATAACATATTAAAAGGATGAATGAAAGGCGACAAGGAGGAGAGGATAAGTCCCCGTGGCGCAGTGATAAGACACTCGAACCCACGGCGCTTCCCAAGCGATTTGGCCTGGGTTCGTATCCTGGCCTAGGGAGGATTGACCGGGGTGCCAATTCTTAACTGTAGCCCCTGTTCACCCAGCAGTGAATGGGTACCTGGTTGGTAAACAGTTTGGCGGGTCGTATTCCGGGGAAAATTAAGATTAAAGACCTGTCCGAAACGTTATGCTTGCTAGTGGCTTAACAAGAATGTAAGAACTCTTACATATATATAAACTCTTACATATATATAAACTCTTACATATATATAAACTCTTACATATATATATAAATAACTAAAAGTATTGAGGAACACGAAACGGATGACTGATATCTAGAAGAGGATTGGCTGGATTTCAACGAACAATTGTAATCTTCGTTGGTTTGATATCTGTAACGATAGGAGTGAAGGTGAAGACTTAGAGTCCCAGCGAGCTCTATAGAGAAGCATATGTCCAACCTCCAGAGCCAGGTGCTTCTCCCAACACGGCCCCAATTATCAAGCCTGAGGTAGGCGACAGAGCCGGCCCGGTACAGAGCACCACACCCGCACCTCATAGTGCAACCCGTTCTCGCAAATTTAATAAGTCAATATTGACTTATTAAATATGTGCATAGGT